GCCCCCTTAATGTACTGTTTTTTCTATCCAAAAAAAAAAAAAAAAAAAAAAAAAAAAGGAAAAACACTCAAATACTTCTTTGTTTGTTTGATATCTATAGTTATCTATGAATCACAGCAAATAAGCTTTGGTATTTTTGATCGAGGAACAATATTTGAATTTATTATCTCAATAAAAAACAATATTTAAACGTAGCATAGGTTTGTGCTTAGCCAAGTTTGGTTAGAGTAGTGTGCTCATTGCTCTGCACTTAAGTGTGAATTCTCTTTCTCGTAATTTAGATGAATTTATTGTAAAATATTTTAACTATCGTGTATCAAATGTTTTCTACATTTTTTCTAAAAGAAATTAAGAACTACTTATTTTATTAACACTCCGCATATTATTGAATAAATAACACATACAGGAAATTTGGAAAAATAACCAAAATTTGGACCTCATATAGAATTATAGCCATCTTTTTAGATTTATGATAATACCCAAAATTAATATAAAAGTACTAATGTCACATCCCCGCCTGGGCTCCCACCACATCCCGAGCTCGACTCCACCATAGTCGACCACACCCTCATGGTTTTGTTTTTGGGAACTCACACGAGAACTTCCCAGTGGATCACCCATTTTAGGATTGCTCTCACGCGAACTTGCTTAACTTTGGAGTTCCTACGGAATCCAAAGCCAGTGAGCTTCCAAAAGGCCTCATGCTAGGTAGAGATGAGAATATACATATAAGGCTTAGAGGATCTACTTCTCTGGGCGATGTGGGATGTCACAACTAATATACCCTTTGATACACCTTTATAATTTTTTATCAAAATAAAAACTCAAAAAATGGACAATTAAATCCCCTTCTACTACAAGTTTAGAGACAAAAAACATATCGAAATCAAATAATGCAGAAGAGAAATGCCAAATGAAAAATGATACAAAATTTGCAATGGACAAAAAGCAGCTAATAGGTAATGATCTTCTTTTTCATGCTTGCTAGGAGCCCCAAACTTGTAAAAAAAACAAAAAAAAAATGCTAAATGTAAACGAATCAATGTGTGTGGTGTGGGACAGTAAACATATATAGAGTAATGTTATTCATACCATGTTTTTATATCATATTTCTATACCACCTTAGAAAAATTTGATTAATCATTTGAAAAATTTGCACATCATTTGAAAAATTTGCAAAACCCAAGGAAATGAAGAAGAAAAATTCCTCGTATTGCATAATCATCATTTAATTAACTAGTTTTTCTTAATTATTAGTTTATTAAATGATGAACTAAATTTAAAATCTAATTAATTCAAATGATGTGGCTGTCTACATCAAATGCCACCTAAGATGATATGAAAATATGGTACAAAAATATGGTATGAATAGCATTACTCTATATATTGAAATGTTCTCCAAGTGGTCTTAGCCATGAGTGTTCATGGCTTCCCAGACCATGCTCTTCGGGACTGGATTGAACAACAAACCATTTTTGAACAACACTAAATAAATTTTTCTTATCACACACAAATCAAACCGAGAAAACCCTTCTGTTCACACGGTCTATTTTTTTTTCTTTGGAACCCAAAAAAAGAACCCGGTAATACATTGGGAAAATCTCAGATTTGATTTGGGTTTTTTGAATTTGTTTTCAAACTCTCTCTTTATCTCTCAATTTCTATTTTAAGGGTATATTAGTATTTTCATATAAATTTTTTGTTATAATTATCATAAACTTAAAAGAGTGGTTATAGTTCTATATGGGGTTTAAATTTTAGTTAATTTTCTAAATTTCCCAACACATACTTATTACACGTCACGTTTGCTTTTTCAATTAGAATTTTTCTTAATCAACCCACATAGATTCCCATATACCCTCAGACCCACTCTTAACATACACCCCACATTTTCTATGTACATGCTACACTCTTCAATTCTTAAGTGCAAATACATATTTTATATTTTTATTTTTACGCCTGACACACTTCAAATCTTTGAATTATAAGATGGCTTCTATTGTCACATCCCGGCTCGGATCCCCACCACATCCCGGGCTCGACTCCACCGTAGCACGATATTGTCTGCTTTAGGCTCCGACCACACCCTCACGGTTTTGTTTTTGGGAACTCACACGAGAACTTCCCAGTGGGTCACCCATTATGGGAATGCTCTCGCCCGAACTCGTTTAACTTCGGAGTTTCTACGGAACCCGAAGCCAGTGAGCTCCCAAAAGGCCTCATGCTAGGTAGAGATGGGAATATATATATAAGGCTTACATGATCCACTTCCCTGGATGATGTGAGATGTTACATCTATGTTGTTTCTCCTCCCTTTCAAAGAACGAAGATTTAGATTTGAGAATTCATAATTGATGATTTATTTTTTATTTTTTTTTTGAAAACCTCATGAAGACGTCGATTTCATGTTCCATTTGTCCAAAATATATATTTTTCAATCTTGTGAAGATAAAATAAAAGAGTCTCACATTGATGAAATGAGAAACCTTGTAAGAACTTTTAAGAGGTTGGGCTAGTTCTCATATTGCCAATTGGTTTTGTGGTAGAATTCTAATTTCTTCATAGTATTAGAGAGGTTGGCTCACATGTGAAACCCAAAGCCTACGCGTGCTCCACATCACTCAGTTCATGTTGTCTATGTGTTTGACTTGAAAATTTGCCACACGTGAGAGGGCGATTGTGAATGTGAAAATAAAAGAGTCTCTCATATTAGTGAAAAGAGAAACATTACAAGAGTTTATAAAAGATTGAACTTGTTTATTAGGATTTATGAGTCATTTGGAACTTTTTTTCAAACCTTATGAGATTGAAACTATCATTGCATATTAGGATGAGATGCTTTTATTCTAATAAAAAACCCTCAAAGAAATTGAAAACTAGTGTTGGGTTGGAATCCGTAGAGTATAGTGGAGAGATTACGGTGGGAGTGGTACGCAGTACGGTGAAAAAACGTGGCTACTGTCGGGAGAGGGGATGAGGGCATATGACGTGGCAAAATGATGGGATGGTGGGAATCCGGATCGCGGCATACGAGCGGCGGTGCTTTTAACATTTAGGAATAATGATGGGCCCCTTTCTCACCATCAGATTCCCTCCCTTGTCTTCTTCCTTTAATTCCAATTTTCTTTTCCTTTTTCTTTTATTTCTTTCAACCCTGTTCTTTCACAACTCCCCAGTCTTCACTGTAAAAAATATCCGCTAATGCCATGGAGCTTAATTTTTTAAAATTAAATTTGTAAATCAAATGATGTGATTATAAATGATTGAATTATTAATTAGGTTTGCAATTTGATTTAAAAAGGTGATGCTCTGTTCCCTTGTGGCTTAGAGTAAATTGTAGTAATAGTCCCTCAACTTTAATCAAATTAGAGCAATGGTCCCTCAACTTATCAAAATGTGTAGCTATAGTCATTTTCATCAATTTCGTCAAAATTTTGTCAAAATAAGTTATGTTGGAATAACCATTTACATAATAAGGGTCCCTCTACTTATCAAAGTGTGTAATTATGGTCATTTTCGTCAATTACATCAAAAATTTTGTCAAAACGAGTTATGTTGGAAGGTCTATTGCTACAATTGGGTTACGGTTAAGAGACCATTTCTCCAGTTGAATTAAAGTTGAGGGACCTATGGTAATGAATTTTTAGTTGAGGGACCATAGCTGCACGTTTTGATGAGTTGAGAGACCAATGCTAATGGATTTTTACTTGAGGGACCATTGCTCCAATTGAGTTAAAGTTGGGGGATCATAGCTACAATTTACTCTGTGGCTTATTTGTTCTTTGCTAGTCCTCTTTCTTTTTTCTAAGAATAGAATATTCTGCTAAGTTTATCATCAAATGATGTGTTTGTATGCATACGTATTTGAATAAATGGCACACTAACACACCATTTGGTGAAAGAATTTAATATGTGTAACATCACTCTATAAAATAAGTGTCTATAGCTCATTTACTGCATTATATTGGATAGATCATTATAAATTTTGCAAATTAAAATCTTTGTGACTCATTAACATGGCTTTAATGACTCGTGTAATTTAGGCACAAATCTTATGAACTGGCACAATTTTACCTAGCTAAAAGCCCTGCTACGTATGAATGTTATAAAAAGGGTTGAGCCGTCTAAGTGGGGAGATTTGATGATGAAAGTTTACTAGGTAGGTTAGGTTGTTTTCAAAAATTCTGGCGATTTAGAAAAGAGAAGAAATTCAACACAAGATCACGAATGGTGAAGTTCATGTTTATAACGACGACTTGGGATACAAATCCATAACAGAAGCCATTTTGTTGAATATTTTAATGAGTATGTCACGACTGACGATGGATAGCTAATTACACAAATTTGTAATCACATTACGAGTTTAATGAACTAGATAATGCACGCATGAGGGGACAGGCCCATATTGGTTTCCCTTCAAGAAACCCAAAAGTCAATGCTTTGGAGATTGATTCAAAATAAAATTAATGGTTTGGATTTGGAGTGCGATTACTAACCGCACTCATATTGTGCCTCCACTAGCATCTACTCACTTGCAAATCACAGTAAGTATGAGAGTTTTATCACAAAATGTCTAGGTAGAATTAAGCGTAAAATCAATCAACGGACATTAAGTAACAAGGGTGTGTGAGAAGCTAAAAATATGTGTGTATTATTTCACTAATGCATATGCTATCTTTCTTTTTTTGACAAATGTTAGGATATGTGGGTTATCGAACATGATACTTCGTCCTACCAAGTGATAACAACTACCACTAAACTAAAAGCTAGTTGATGTAGAAGGCTTTTAAGAGAAGGGATTCCCCTTTTTTCAAAATGGGAATTAGTTGTGAAATTCACACCACATCGAACTTCGACGATCTGAACCGTCTTTTTTTCAAGTTGCATCTCTTAGATTTTGCAAAATATTAGCCAAATCGGAAATATGCTATGCACACATAATATAAGCAGGAACACTTTAAAAAGGGCGAAATAACCGAAAAGTTTGGTGTGCAAACATATGAAAAGAACCTGTGAGGGCAGCATTGTAAGCAAGAACAAGTTTTAACAAAATTTGTATTTCCATTGCTTGAAGATGTTAGGAGCATGAAAACTACAAATCTACAGAAAGGATAACAACTAGTCCAAAACTGCCCTCTTTCAATTGGGCTCAAAGCATTTACACTTCGGCGTCAATCTTGTCCCATCTTGATGAAAATGAGTAGTCAGAACATCTGAGACTGAGAAAGCCATTGAAAGAGTCGACCTCGAAAAGTTCTTTTAGCTTATCATCACAAACGGTTCTCCACTTATCAGTCGGATCCTTCAAGGCGAGAAAAACAGCCAAAAAAGCAGGCGTGAGATAAAAAGTCAGCACCAAGATATAGTGGGACTCTAAAGCAAAGGCAATAAATAGAGAAGAGTCACTAAAGTGTCTCCATTAACAAGACTTATATGTCCTCTAGATATTTCTACCCCATTGAACTTCAAGGATCTGGAAAAAAGGTGGAATAGCGATAGGCAAAAAAGTTATCGAGCTCTATCATGATCCGAAAGTGTTGGACCCACAACGATTAGATGACAGATCCAAAACTACTAGGCATGACATCGATTTTGGATTCTAAAACCTGGAGGAACACGATACTGATATTTGACCAAATAGAGAACTGTGATGTGATGATACCCTTGTGCAAGGGTACTAATAAATAGTATTACAACTATCAGAACAAGAAAAAAATGGGACGGATAAAGATAATTGACAACGCCAACAAATGGATACTTGTGTTTTGAGGTTTGACCTTTACGGAGTTTAAAAGCTGACAATGGGACAACAGTCGAGGGTTACATGACTCATTAAGCTGAAGAATGACTTCTAAATAGATATTTCATCCTCACGCCTCAGCCTAACTCGACATTCATAACTTTCATTCACCAGATCACAGTAGCCGTGCATTATACTTGGCCTTTGCATATCTTGGTATTAATTATGAAATGACAATGCCTCTGTACCAACCTCAATGACAATGAACTATGTTTCATGAACAAAATTGCAAGATAAATGCTAGAAATATTAGCATAGGTAAGAGGGATAAGCTAGAGTACATACTACACACGAAAGCCCACTAAGTGAACTTGTCATTAAATACCAACCATTTTCTAGCTGCAAGGTCTGGTGTGTAATCACAAAAGCATTCTAGAATCATTTGCAGTGACAAAAAGACATGAACAACAAGTATACTTGAACTGAGCACCGTGTCACATAACCTTTAAATTCTCAAGTAATCACTAGCAAGAAACTGACCTTGGCTTTTTTAGTGTCAATGCAAAATAAGCATTATGTCTATGAAAATGTTTTAAATTACCATTTTTATACATTTGGGCAAAGATTCATTTCCTCACTGCTCAGGATTTTCATAAATAATATATGAGCTCATATCCAGGTGATTAACAAAACTAAAACTATTCAACATTATGCTCTTGAAAGAGCATAGGTTTGAACAGGAACATTGCTGTACCTGTAGATCATTTTGTTTTAAGTACTCCCACAGTCTCTTACCCCAGTCCGTGATAACAACCTTTCCCAGTTATTAAGGAATTTCAAAACAGAATTCGAAAGTGGCAGGGAAGACAGAAGACCAGAATCACCATCCTTCACTGTTTTTTTTGTTTTTCTAAGAGTCATATAAATCTAAATACTGAAATGGTGGTGGCTCAGACTATGTTATTAGCACAAGTTCATAACTGAAAGCACCTTGGTTCATTTCTTAACATCTTATTTGGATCAAACCAGTACCAGCATGTGGGATGTGGTATGAATGCACAATAAACCAACAAAGTTTGATAACCTGAAGACCTGAATTTATTTATCTCACCTTCTTCTTCCTCCTCTTCAGACTGCTTTTCCTTTTGTGAAGTGTTGTCTGGAGCTGCTAGATTACATGTAATACAGTTTGTCAAACTACTGAAGCAGATACCATGAAATTTGTCAAAACTTCAACACAAGACTATATGTATTCTATGACAGCATAACATGGATGGCATGGTATACACTTCTGATGACCAGACCTGGTAAATGAATAAAATTCTTGAGAAAATTGATCACTTTAATCACTTGACATATAAAGAAACAGAAAGCAGCGGTATGTGGATAAAGGCACACTTCAAAACATATTTAAGTAGTCATTCGAAGATGAATGTGCAGCCCTGGATGAAATGTAGGGAATACTCTTTACCATGTTCCATTCCGTCCAACATGTGTGGGAGATGAAGCACAATAATTAAGTAGTTCATTCCTTTGGCACTTTCCTATCAAGCTATTTATACATCATAATCCATATGCACGAAAAATGGAAATGAATGCGCAAAAAGAATTATATCCAAGAAACAGTTCCCCACTATACACAATGCAATTTGATTCATCTGTGCTGAAAACTGCAGGATTTATGACAATCAAACATCCTGAACTGCAAGTGTGTGGCAAAATGTTTATTTATTGAAGATGTATACCTTCTTCACTTAAGGGCAATATGTGCTTGGACAGAGCTTTATTCATTTGAAACATATTGATACAATCAACGTCAAAAAGGCCACGCAATGACTCATCACATATTATATCTCGTTTATTCTTTGGATCTTGCAAATTGTTCTCCCGGATATAAATCCAAAGTTTCTTCACGACCTAATTCATGAAAGAATAGAATGGGCGAGGAATGAGTTTTGAAAGCATACTTTAACAAATACTGGTTAAATAAAAGAAATTTCCCTCTTTCTCTTGGGGTCAAAGTGGTTTCTTGAAAATCTAAAATTAATACCTCTGTTCTGGCCAATGCTGACACTCCAGTGAACTTTTGAAGTTCTGGAGAAAGGCTGCATAATTTGGTAAATCCACCTCCACCTCCCCTTTTCTTGACTTCTTTATCCACTTTAGTAGACCTACTTGATAACACACTCAATTAGAACAAATAAACATCAGAACCATTTTTAAAAGAAAATAAACTCTACCACCTTGGAACCAGGTATATGGTCCTACCAGCCATAGATGTTCATACGAATATAAAATAGGTTACTAGGGACCCCAATATATATCCATTATACAATAAACAGTAAACAACTACTTTTTTTCGAGAGCGGGGAGGTGGAAGTTGGGAGAAATTCAAAGAATCACAAGTAAAAACTGTACGGATGTTATCTTCTGAGAAAGTCAATAAGATGATAAATGAATTCATTGACTGGACTCGAAAATTACAGTTTTGGATCTCTAGGAACTCTGATTTTGCCTGGTTATGTAAATAAGTCACGAATAAATCATAATTTAATCTCTACAAGCCTTCAAGATATAAGATTAAACTTTCAAACTCTGAAAATGCATAATAGATAAACTAAATAAATAGTGGAAACAATGAGAAGGCCAACGAAACCAGACATGAATTAAAAAAACAAACCTTCGTTTCTTGTTTTCTTTTCGTCTACTAACTTTTTTAGCCTCCACCTCCTCTTCTTCCTCCTGTTCCGCTACATTACTTACATCTCCTTCAGAGATAGAATGATCACTTTCTTCCACTTTCTTCTTTTGCTTTACAGGTTCTGAGTTACATCATGCTATGGTGTTAAGATCTCAAATAAATACTATACCATGCACAACTCACACTAGTCAAGGTAAATGATAAGGAACATTATAAGGTACCATTGCATGAAATACAGCAATGATCCCAATTGGAAGACTTTTTTTGTGACAGATGTTGTAAAAGATTAAAAATCCCATCCTAATGCACACAGTGAAAAAGGGATTAGCTTATGAGATACAGAAAGTCAAAATAACGCAGAAAAGAAAAAAAGAAATCATGATTCAAAACAAAAAATCACAAATTTAAAGAATCATGTTTTTCTTTATGCTTTATAGCCAAATGATATTTGTTATATTTAGTACTTTACTTTCTGAAGAGAACAGAAATTAGTGTGAATATGCCTTCTGCGTGGTGAAGAAACCAATCACAGGAATGAAGTACACTGTAAGTGTATGTTTTCCACATAACAAACACTGTAAGCGTATGTTTCCATCCTATCATAACCAATCACATGAACAAATGATTAGTAATATAGCCTGTCCTCTGACTTACGGTAGAAAATAGCATGTGCTATAAAAATGTCCGTTCTTTATTTTCATTGAGTGCACGTTTAAGTGTAGTGGAGTTCAAATGCATGTCATGAAGCTGCATATACCATGTTCATCAAACAAAGAGGAACAAATAAAATGAAAAGTAGAGATTATTGAGCACAAATCCATATGAAAACATAAGGGGTAAGAAAATAATATAAACAAGTAAATAATGAACCACGAGAATTGGGTCACATATGAGTGTCATCAGAAAAATGAGGAAAAGAATTCTGGACATACCATCTTCCCTGCTAAGTGGCCATATATGCTTGGAGAGGACTTTATTCATTTGAAACATATTAATAGAATTAACACGGAACAGGGAATGTAGTGATTCATCGCATCTAATGTTTCTTCTATTTTTTGGGTCCTGCAAATCCTTTTCCCGGATATAGGCCCAAATTCTCTTGACCACCTAAGAATGAAAGAGGGTGAATAAGCATGACATCTTGGTTCCGTCCAAATGAAAGATGCATTGACAAGTAAACAACAAAAAATTGCTTAACAAATTATACCTCTGTTCTTGCCATTTCGGGCACCCCAACAAATTCTTGAAGTTGTGGAGACAAGCTACATATTTTATTGAAGCCACCTCTTTTGACAACAACTTTATCCACACTATTTGGAAATATAACACAGCTTAGAAAAGGTAGAGCCCAGCGCAAATACATATTTCCAGGGCAACATATATCATATACTCTATTGTGCGGGTAAAAGTAACCAAACACAGAAAAAAGTATATAGATTAGGTCCGAGAGGTAAAATGATATGCAGACTAGTAAGAAATACAACATATTAAAGATAGAAGAAAAGAAAGATCTGTGAATAGTAAGGGGTCGTTTGTTATACTCTACAGGTTATTATGTTCTTTTGTGTCTGATTGTATTGTGTAGGAAAAAGAGGGAACATAACAGTAAACACTCAGAAAACGCATTCTTCTAGAATCAATTTAAGCAAATCCTCATCCCCGAAGTTTTCATAGATAACAGCCTTACTCTGAGAAATTCTACAATCATATTAAACAATTAGCTTATAATTGAATGCAACTTAACAATCCTTAAAGCACTCTCAAGATATATGTTTTACTTACGAAAGAATGCATGTTAGCTATGCAAGTGTAGTCAGTATATGAGCTTTCTCAATATAGCACAATATCCTTCACTTGTCAGTGTAGTCATGACATGAGCTTCAATTCTGTTGTTATAATGCTCTAAATAAATAAAATTTATGCTAAACAGAAGTAACTACGGAATTCTTAGGCATACAAGTAATAGAATTGTCAAAGGGACTTACAATAACTAAGGTGGACTTTAAGGGCCATATCTCTAGATACAAATTCAGTTAGAACTCAATTTGATTAGTAAGGAATGCTAAGAATCTGAACTTACAACATTGGCATTTTCAATTCACTGTCAACAAGTACACTTGCATATACAATACTTCACTATACATTGACGTCTCATATACTCCCGAACCATATCTAAATACACTACAGCTGTAAACCGGTATACTCAAAAATCTTAGGAGCCTTTTCAGTTGCAGAACAAGACAGAAAGACGGACTGCTGTCAGTTTGCAACCAGTCCAAAAGCCTCAGTATTTGATAATTCAATGAGCATTGAGATTTTAGACGATGCACTACAGTACCACTTTCAAGTATGGACATGTAGAAACGCCAAAAAACACTCATTGTTTCAACAGCAACTAAATAACTATAAGCTAACATAAAAAATGCAATACAAACAATGTTGATATGGTTTAAAACAACAAAAAGACATCAACTTTCAAAAATTTCTAAGCCATCCAATAGATAAAAGCAATAAAAACACCGTTTGACGCAGGTAATACGCAGAAATATAGACACAATGTAATCAAATTAACTTCCTGCAACTACTCCAAAACCACAAATGAAGCTTTTCTTTCAATGGAAAACCAGAAAGAAAAAAAAGGCGCATTTCTCACAATGTGGGTCGGACCCAATAAATCCGAATAAAGGCTAAATTGGGAAAATTTTATCCTCATAAGCCCAAAACGATCAAATTTCTTTGCTACCCACTAACCCAATTTTCCCAGCAACCAAACACTAATTAAAGAAAATCCAAAAGCGCAGTAAAAAAAAGAGAATAATAAAAAAATAACTCACGTTTTTCTCCTTTTACTTTTGCTTTCCTTCTCTTCCTCTTCCTCCTCCTCTTCTTCTTCGTCTTCTTCCTTAACGTCGTCGTTCTGTTCTGCATTCTCCGAGGATTCACCGACCTCATCCTCCTCCTCTGCTTCTTCGCCTTGGGGTTTGGTCTGGGTCTCGAGGTAGATGTCGATTTGGTCCCGGATAAACTTTTTCCGGTCCGATAGATCAACTCCGAAATCGGCTTCGAGTTTCCGGCGGACGCTGCCGGCGGTGGCCGTGTCTAGGTCCGAACTGCGGAGGATTTCTCTGAGCCGGGTCAGGAGTTCCGAGTCCGATACCATTTTTCCTGGGCTTTGAAATTAACCGAAATTTCGGCGGGGGTTGGAGTTTAGAGAGAGAGGAGAAAGAAGGAAACGGGTAATTGTGGCGTGTGGAGGATGGAGGGTATTTCTGGAATTTGAAATTTTATCTTTACTTGGCTGGGTAAAGTGAACTGGGTTGTTCAATGAGTCTCAGGTTAACCCCAATTTGTACTCGCAAATTCTTTTGTTTTTCACTTTCCAACGAAAGAAATGTATTTCAATTTATTTTCTCCAACAAGATAACCAAAAAAAAAAAAAAAAAAAGGAAAAAAAAAAAATATATATATATATATATATTATGTAATTTACTTTCTTAGACCAACTCCAATCTTTGGAGTAAGTCCTAAAATTTCTCTTCTATTCCCCCCAATTTCTTTTAACCCTTGTTCTAAAGTTGGGTTAAGTGTTAGAACCTAAAAAAAACTTGAATATCAGCCAAGATTAGCCCAAAATTAATGGTGAAGCCTAGATGTGAGAGTGGATAAAGGGGATTGAACTGGACTTGCCAGCCCAGACGCGCACCACGGGCCGTAAGCGCTAGGCCGGCTCAGACGTTCTTGCCCACCCACGTGGGGCTGTCTCCCCTGCTATCTGCTAGGATTATGAGCCCAATGACTCTTTTTTGATCCGGCATCCATAATCACATGGGTCGTTGGTTGATCCAACGGTTCACATTCAAACTTTTATTTTAGTTTTATATTTATATATTTATTGAATCCAACGGCTGAGGTTGAATATAATCAAATCTAACGTTAAAAAAATCTAGCGACCCAAATTTAAATCCAACGGCTAAAATAATTTAAAAAAAAACTCAAAATTCACCAAAAAACTCTATAAATACCTATGTATTTGTTCAAACATCTACACAAAACTAACTTTTCTCCTACAATCCCCAATTTTTCTTTCTACCATCTTCCAAAACCATTTGTTCCCATTTCCAAATTTTTCAAGATGGCAAAAGATCATATTACAGGTCGTAATTGGACCTTGAGGAAGATGTTGCTTTATGCTTGACATGGATTTCTATTAGCGAAGATAGTGTCGTTGGCACGAATCAAAATAAAAAAGGTTTTGTTGAGTAATCGTTGATAAGTTCAATGAAACACCAATGCCGGTTGAAGGGAAGTTGGTGGTGTTTACGATCAGTGGAAGGTTATCAACAAAGCATGCACTTTATGAAAGGGAATCTTGGAGAGAGCCTTGGTTGACATGGCTAATGGAAGGAGCACTGTAGAAGTGGTGAGTTTCCTTGTTGATATTTTATTTGTCATATACATAATATTATTTTACAACTGATTGTATTTATGTATTTCTTGCATAGGGTGACAAAGCAATGGCAATTTACAAGACAAGAACCACACCAAAAAATCAAACTTTTAAGTTGCATCATGCTTGGGGCATCCTTAAGGATTGTTCGAGGTGGAGAACCGATGTGGACCAACAATGGAGAAAATTATTTGGTATTGAAGCCACAAAGACAAATGATGTCAATGAAGGTGTCGATTTGTTGACCCCAACTTCTTCTTTTGCAAGGCCCCTAGGAAGAGATAAGCAAAAAGAAGCAAAGAGAAAAGGGAAGTTCCAAGATCTGGTTAGTGCAACGATTTCTACCGGATTTGCAAAATTGGCTGAAAGCCATAGCTCTCGAGAGGAAGAAGTGGCCCGAATGCGTTTAGCCTTTATGAAGGAAGGGGAAAGAGAGCAAGGAAGGTTCGAATGTGATTTGATTCGGGAGGACCTCAACAAATACACTCCAGATAGGAAGAAGTTCTTATGTGATAAGCAAAAGAAAGTTTTGCGAAGGCATGCCACAAGGAGTATCTTTCAAGATGATGATTCATCTCAAGGCTATATCCCAAGTCCACCACCAAGTCAAGGTGGTGGATATCATTATTAAGTTTATATAGTTTATTAATTATCGTTTGTATTAAGTTTATGACTTATTAATTGTCGCTTGTATTAAATTTATGGCTTATTAATTATTGTTTTTATTATTCTTGATGCCTTCAATAATTATTGTACATATTGTTGCACACTATGATGTACAATAGATGCCTTCAATAATTCAAGGGGCATTCAATTATTATTGTACATATTGATACACATTGTGATGTATAATGGATGCCCAGTTTTTGACAACATACTAGACAAAAAATTTGTCACAAGCAGACCCTTCAATTTATTACTAGAAAATACCAACATAGCACACTTTAAATTATTATAGAAAATTACAACATAGCACACTTAAATTTAACACAAGAAAACAACCACACTAACACATTAACACACTTAAGATTATCCATCATCAACGTTCTCTTTCTCGGCACCATATATGCTCAACCAAATCCTTTCGAAGTGTGTTTTGATCTTGAGGAGTTTGAATTCTATTTAAACGTCTTATATACTCACTTAGTGTGACCCTATCATGTCAAGTCTTATATGTGGTTGCATCGAGATATTCAACATCTCTTGCCATAGCTCTTGCATATGTTGGTTGGTCGCCATCCACATCTTCGTTAGAATATTCTTCAATTTCTACGCACTCATCTTCCACAATCATGTTGTGCAAAATTATGGACGTTATCATGATTGAATGGAGGTCTTCCATATTCCACAATCGTGTAGCCCTTCTAACAATGGCCCATCGAGCTTGTAGGATCCCGAACGCTTTCTTTACATTTTTCTAGTAAGACTTTTGTTTTTGCGAAAATCTCACACTATTAAGATGAGAATAACATTTTCACAAAGGTAGACCAACTAGGATAAATACCACCAGTTAAGTAGCAACCTACCTTATGCCTATTACCATTTACCTTGTACCTTTATTTTGACGCCCATCCATTGACAATATCATCGAACAGAGGAGAAGACCAAAGAATGTTGATATCATTGTTTGATCTAGGAATGCTGAAAAATGCATGCTAAATCCAAGTGGCGTATGACGCCACACCTCAAACATAATTGATGGTTTGTTGTGACAACTCTTGAATTGACGATGCCCAAGCAGTATGACAATTCTTCCACTCCCAATGCATACAATTGAGATTTTAATCATGCTAGGGAACCCTTTTTTTTCTGCCTTGTGTAGAAGCCTCTTCAATTCTTCACGATTTGGCTTTCGAAGGTATGTGGCTCCATAGATGGCTTCAATTGCCTTACAAAAGCACTTGAGATTTTCAATAGCAGTACTTTCCGCAAGTTGACAATATTCGCCAGTTGAGTCTGCAGAGCACCCATTATCTAGCATCCAAAATGCAGATGTGAGCTTCTGATGAGGTGATAGACTTTGTCAACCTACAACATCTATGTTCCTTGCAAAGTAGTGGTCCTGATGGACAACTACGTTTGAGATGCTTTCAAAAAGCTCTCTCCTTATTCGATACCACCTCCTAAAATCATGAGGAGAATATCCTGGACGTTTGATGAAATAGTCTTTCATCATCTGGTTATGACACTCTTCTATATCACGTTGCACAAATGAATGTCCCGTGACAGAACCTTGATAGCTAGATTTGGCATGGTGCTCATATTGTATAAGCGAGTTTGCAAATTCGGCTTCTTCGCTCTTCATTTCTGCATTGCCAGTTGCAAGGCTTACTTGGTATTATGCCATCTGCATTGTTAAGCTACACCTTCTTCTATCACCCATTGATGATATATTGATGATTTTGAGGAAACAAAAACACTATGAAAGTTAGATGATTGGTGAATATGTTGTGTGATGGTTAGATAGTCAATCTATGCTTATATAGAGGATGACTGAATGTTTGCATTTTATGTGTGTAGGTTTGTGTTTCATGTGTTTTGTATGTATTTGGTATGTGTGTAGGTTTGTGTTTCATGTGTTTGGTGTGTTATACGTCTCTGTCATGCATTTTGTATGTGTTTTGTGTGTTTCATGTGTTTTGTGCTTATACATCTCTATCATGTGTTTCATATTCTTCCATAGTGTTTCATGAGTTTTATGTGTTGATTTAGTGATTTTTCAATATTTATCGGAATTTAAAAATTCTTAGGTTAAAATGTTCATAAAATTTAATTTAGGATAGTCTACATATTTTTTTTAAAAGTTAATTTAAAAAAAAAGGCCTAAAATCATTCTTTAATAATCTGAGGCTAAAATTTTAGGCCTGAAGGGTTGGAGTAGAAAAGTTGTTTCTGGGTTAAAACCTAAATTTTTGAGGTTAAAAATTTTAGGTTTTACTCAAAGGGTTGGAGATGGTCTTAGGACCTAATCCAACCTTTGGAGTAAAACTCAAATTTTAGGTTCTAAATCTACCCCAACTTGCTCAAACCCTTGGGGCAAATATGAGTTTTAACCCAAAACTCATTTTTGGGACAACTTCAGTCTAGGATTCCCCTAAGTTAGTGGGCTGGGCCACCATATATGTGTAATTTTTTTTTTTTAGTTTTATATTTTATAAATTCATTGAATCCAATGGCTAAGATTTATTATGATCAAATCCAACGGTAAAACAAAAGATCTAAATGTTGAAATTTAAATCTAATGGTAGAAGTAATTAAAAAAAATAAATTCTTTTATGTGTTTTGTAACATCCCACATCGCTCAGGGGAGTGATTCTTATATGTATATTCCCATCTTTACCTAGCACGAGGCATTTTGGGAGCTCACTGGCTTCGGGTTCCATGGGAACTCCGAAGTTAAGCGAGTAGCGCACGAGAGCACTCCCAGGATGGGTGATCCATCGGGAAGTTCTCGTGTGAGTTCCCAGAAACAAAACCGTGAGGGCGTGGTTGGGGCCCAAAGCGGACAATATCGTGCTACGGTGGTGGAGCGGGCTCGGGAAGGGGTCCGCCCCGAGCCGGGATGTGACAATTTGGTATCAGAGCCTAACCCTGGTCGTGGTGTGCCGACGAGGACGTCGGGCCCCTAAGGGGGGTGGATTGTAACATCCCACATCGCCCAGGGGAGTGATCCTTATATATATTCCCATCTTTACCTAGCATGAGGCCTTTTGGGAGCTTACTGGCTTCAGGTTCCATAGAAACTCTGAAGTTAAGCGAGTAGCGTACGAGAGCACTCCTATGGGTGACCCATCGGGAAGTTCTTGTGTGAGTTCCCAAAAACAAAACTGTGAGGGCATGGTTGGGGCCCAAAGCGGACAATATCGTGC